CAGCCCGCGCTGGCGGGGCCTGGGCGCAGCGCCATGGGGAGCCCCCGCGCCGCGCCGCTCCTGCTGCTCCTGCGCCCGGCCAGGCTGCTGCGGAGGCGCTTCCGGCTGCTGCTGCTGCTCGCCGTGGTGTCGGTGGGGCTCTGGACGCTTTATCTGGAACTGGTGGCGTCGGCGCAGGTTGGCGGCAACCCCCTGAATCGGAGTAAGTAGTGTCGGGGGGCGAGGGCGTGGAGGTGGAGGTGGCGGCGCTGCGGTCCCACTGGGGACCAGTGTCTCGCGCCGCCTGGGTCCCCAGGTGCCCTCTCCCGGAGAGGGGCGCGCGGGGGCTGCGAGGCATGGGCCGGGCCTGGGCTGGGCTGTGGCTTCTGGGCGGTCTTAGGGGCGCCGCTGGATTTGGGCCCCTCCCACCACTCCCGACTCGCGGTGCGTCCACGTCCACGCGTGGGCTGGGGGTCCGGGTCCGGGATGCCCTCGGCCAACTGCATCCAGGTTGCGCGCTCCAGGAGGCAGGGCGTAAACTTTGCCCCCCCCCGACCCCCCCGCTGTGTTCCCTCTCCTGTTGGTCTTGGGGGATCCTTTTCGATGTTCCCGGCCCTGGGCGCCACCCCTCCCAACCTAGTCCTCTAAGGCCAGGGCTCCCACCCTTCCGTGCGCTGCCCCCACCTCGTCCCGGCCACTTTCGGTTAGTTTTCCGAAGCCTTTCATGCAAACTCTACAGAGTCTACCAAACTCTCCAGACCCTGCTCAAGGCGACAGTGGGCGGCACTTTGGGCTGGACGGTGGGTAGAGTTAAGGGTCTTCTATCTTAACTTAGTGCTTCCGTGCCCGAGTGACTTTCAGTGTATTTTTAATGGGCCTAACCAAGTAAAAGGTCATTGTACTAACTTGGGAGTAGAGGGATTTCCGTAACTCCAGGTGTCCTTCCCGGCCCCAGGGCAGGTTCAGGGTTCCAGGGTTCCGAAGCCCTTGTCTCCCAGGGTTTCTTCCCTGTTGTGTACTCTAGGCAGCTCCTCTACCCAGAGTTGGGTGTGGTGCTTTGGCTCCTGTGGCCAAAAAAGAGGGAATTACTAGGGACAGGAACTGAGCTGGTTCAGGTTAGAGACATATATTTATAGCGTAATCTGTCTGTGGCAGTAACCACCAGTTAGGTGAGGACTCCAGGGGAAAGTGACAGCTCTTTAAGAAAAGGAGGAATTAGGCTTCAAGACCTCCAAGGTTCCAGTCTGGACGCTAAGATTGCGCGAGGGCTGGGGGCTAGCTGCGCGAGGGCTGGGGGCTAGCTGCGCTCAGCCACTCTTGCACATGTCTGTGTAGGAAAAGCCTGCTCTTGCCCAGCCTGCCCTCTTGCAGCACCTTCCTAGGCTCAGTTGTGTGCATACAGGTGGGAGGCCAGGAAGGGACTCCGGGATCCTCTGCACGTAAGGCAGAAAAGGTCATGCTTTGTGACCCTGAGGTCAGTGGCGTCCTTTCCTTTCCCGGCTCACCATTCCTTTTGCATAGGTGAACTTTTTCTGCCAGGACTGGACATCTCATACTGGGCCTCCAGTCCGAGTCTTATTTCTTTCATCATCATCATCATCATCATCATCATCATCATCATCATCATCATCATCATCATCAATGTAGTTAGTACAGTGTCTACAGGGTCTCACTACACAGATCAGGCTCATAGTGATCCTCCTGTTTGCAGCCTCCCAAGAGCTGGGATTATAGGGTGGGCCACCAGGCCCAGTCTCAGTCACCTTCTCAGTGCGCCCCCCGGGGCAGGGCCAGTGTGGCAGGCCAGGGATCTAGCACCTGGCCCCTGCATCTGCCTAAGCAGGCACTTTAATCTGCTGAGCTATCTGGCCAGCCCATATTTTTTAAAGAAAAAAAATTCAGAACAACATACAGTACTAGGAGGGTAGCAGTGGCATTTTTATCTTTAAATTAGTTCCTCAGAGTACAAGATACAAGCATTTAATTGTACCAGTCTGCATCTTGGCTTTTCCTCTTCAGCCATCAGCACTTAGATCTGCCGGCTACCTCCTGGATAAATCTGACTCGGGACTCTTCTTCTGTTTCTTTCTTCAGACCAGCCCCTCTCCAGTTTTAGTGCCTCTGAAGGGAGCCTCCAACCCTTCAGAAAATTATCCCCAGCATCCTATCCTAGTACTGGCTCTTTCTGTGACTTTTAACAAGATAATGAACCTGAACTCTGATGGATCATTTTTGTCTTTACTTCAGCCTCCTAGAACCCTGAAATTCATTGGCTGGACATCATGTCCTTCTTCTGGATGTTTTTATGGGATGAGATTCAGACAGTGGCTATGAGTTCTAGCTGGTTGTCTGCCTGGTTGTTGTTGTTGTTGTTGTTAATCATTTATTTATTTATATATTTTTTGTGGTACCAGGGATGGAACTTGGGATCTTGTGCTTTCCAGGTAGGCACTTATGCCACTGAGCTGTATCCCTGGCCCCTGATGTTGTTGTTAAGAAGACCTAGGGCTGGGGCTGTAGCTCAGAAGAGTGTGTAGTCCCTGGGTTTGATTGCCAACGATAAAATAAAAATACAGAAGAAGAAATTGTTGCCCAGTCATCTTGTACCAGAATTTCCTCTGTTTCACAGGTCTTATAGGTGTGAGCTGAGCTCCAGTTTACTCCTCTGGAGGAACAGCGAGGGAGGCGGAATTAGGGAAAAAGGCAAGAAAGAGGTTGCTAGCACTCTCTCCTTCAGATCCGAGCTTACCAGTAGCAATACAATATAAATCTACCCCTCCCAGGACTGTACCCAGTGGCTTGAGCAGCCAGAGCCCCCTTTTGGCCCTGCTTTCCAACAAGCCATCTTGCTGCTTTTCTGCAGCGGTCCCAGCCAACTCACTCCACCACCAGCTTTCCCGTCATCTGTAGGGTCAGTTCCTGTGGCCCAGAACCTGTCATTTGCTGGTCCCTATCCACTGATCTAGTGCTGGAAGAGATGGCGGTCCCAAACTCCAGGGTGGTAAAGTAATGACAGGGAAGCAGGCTTCCTGCTTTTTCATGAAATAACCCAGTAGTTCTAAGATATGGACGGTGTGCAATTTAGGCTTCATGTGCAAAAAAAGACAGCACAATTGGGGTAGATTCTAAGAAAAACAACCCAAATCATTAACAAATAGTTGGTGGGCCACGTGGATAAAATAATTAGGGCTGTGCGAAAATAGTTGCTTAGTGCATCCTAGAGCAAGACCTTGTGCTAGACCATTAGTTATGTTGGCAGGATGTGGTTTGTGTAGAGGGTCAAGGTGCTTGTATAAACGTAACTAGATAGCTCAGCAGATTAAAGCATCTGTTTAGGCAGAGCAGAGGCTGGGGGTTCAATCCCCAGCCTGCTGTGCCGCCCCTGCCCTGGCCCCCCTGCCCTCCGCTGGGCGTGGTGGTGCATGCCTATAATCCCAGCATTTGGGAGGCTGAAAATACAGGAAGGATCACTACAAGTCTGATCTTTATAGTGAGACCCTGTACTAAATAGATTAAATAAATAAATAAATGACTAAATGTTAACTAGGATACAAAATAGTCATCATGTTTTCCAAATGTAGAACCTAGACTTTGCTATGACACTTCTGGAAATGGGGCACAACTCCTTCAGTTGTGTCATCACAGGTGGACATTTGGGAAGATCTGAAGGCGCTTGATAAGATTTTGATAGATTATGGAAACAAAGCTTCCAGGCGGAAGGAGCCTGTGACCAAAGAGCAGCCGCAGAGTTTGGGAACATTGAGCCATGACCTGTAAGATGGGAAAGAGAGTGATGTGATGTTGTGAAAGACTTTGACTGACAATCGTAAACAGCAGCATTTAGTCCCTAGAAAGTGGGAAAACCATGGAGAGTTTTGATATAGGCTGGCATTGTTGAATGGAGCAATCAAAGATAGTAAAACTATATAACAACGCGTGGGGGATGGGATGGTGGTGCTGAACAGGATTCAAGGTCATGAGCCTCTTGAGTGCTGGCGTTTTTTGTTTACCACTGGTCCTGGCCCACGTTAACCCTTCAGTTCCTGGATTGTTAAGTTGATACGGGAAGCTGGGCGTGGTAGGATTTGTTTGTTATCCCAGTACTCGAAGGTGGAGGCAAGAGGATTGCAAATTGGCGCTCAATCTGGACAATTTAGCAAGACCTTGTCTCAAAATATAAAATGCAAAAAAAAAAAATTAAAAAAATTATATATATATATATATATATATATTACGATAAAAAAGCAAATCCTGTCTCAAAATATACCAAAAACAAACAAACAAAAAATCCAATGTGAAGGCTCTGGATCCAATTCTCAGTACTGAAAAACAGCAACAAAAACTGCCCTGGGCGTAGGTCATGGTTTCCGAAGCGCATTCAAAAAGCCTTGGGACGCAATGTATCCAAACATGTACCTAAATATTTTAGTATTTTAATGAGTAGAGTAGCTGTCCTGGCTGAAAAGCAGTTGAGGGAAGACACTATTGCTGGACGTTAAAGCGTCTCCATTCGGGCAGGTTTTAACAGGTCATACCCATCTGTTCAGCTTGGATTAGCAAAGGTTGTGCCTAAAGGCAGAGGTCTAGACTGAATTGGTTTCTAAGGTTCTTTGTTCTGTAATTGATCTATCCCTGAGACCAACTGAATACCCAAAGCCAGTTAGCACTAACTTCCGTTTGGATCCCTGGCATGTCCCTGTTGAGGTGCCAGCAGCCTTCGTTGCTGGACTCTGATGCCTAGGAACTCATTGGCTTTTGTGCCTTATGCCGGCGCGGTACCTCTGTCTCTACTGCGTCTCTCTGGTGGCCCTGTGACTGCTGATGGCTGTGAGTGGGTAAGGGGGGCACACCCATAGGTGTCAGGCAGGCTCATCAGCTCTGGGGCACTGAGGCCACTCTGCTTTGGAAGGAATACAAACCCTCCAGTACAGAGCTAACGCAGGGCACAACAGTAACCCGAGACTGGGGTGGGAGGGGGCACAAACGAGACCTGTGCAGGCAGAGGAGGGATAGTGGGATTGCGAGTTGAAACTCCCAGCAGAACCCATCGTAACTACTTCCTTTGCTCTCTTCTGCTGCCTGGACCAGCGGCTTGTCTTTCCCCGGAACCTTTGGCTCTTTTTCCATGCCTTCTTTGCCTCTCTGTACACTGACACTTATTTATTTCACCTGGCTGCTGCGTGCGACTTCAAATTAATATTCAATTCTGGGCACATACTAAGC